AATAGATTACAAATTAAGTCACAATGACTATGTGTATTCATTCGGAGATGAATTTCGCTTGAACTAGTCACTAGTCAATTGATTTGTGTTTGAACATTTGTAAACGCTTACCTCTGAATGCAACAAGTTGTGGTCGAAATGATCTGCATTGAGCATACAGCTATTCCCCAAACGTGAATGTAGTATAGTACCCGTCGGTAGGCATGAATCCGTGCGTGCCATTGATGATGCTTCGTTTTTAATTGAAAAACGCCTTGAGGCCGTACCTCATGTTGGACGATGGTAGACAGTGATTTTATCCTCCTAGTAAAAATAAGGATAAAAATGGAGCACAATCGAAATATTCCTATCAACTATAGAATTTCATGCAATGAATTCGTTCTGTACAGAGCAAATGAATCCTTTATTGACAAGCTAGGACACTGCTTCGACCCGGTGGTGTCTGATCTGCAGTGCGAATTGCTCGATCCATTCGGGGATCGAACCTGGGACTACACAGGCAGAACTCAAGCATACTACCCACTCGGCCACCGGGCAGCTGCTCAGACCGTTTTCTATTTTCCATTTGCCTGATACGGCACACTCCATCTTAGCGATTTTTTTTGCGGGCATCGCGCTTCGCTCATCTCAGCATAAGTCTCCCAGATAAGGACTCACTTGGAAATTTCAAAAACTGACTACTCTGTACACAATAAATTCCTTCCAAGAAATTTAATCAAATCCGCAATGACTCATATGCAAACTGTCAAATCCTATCGCATTCCGCACGGAGACCTTCCCATACTATGTGAGAATCAGCTCTTGGTAATTCTTAGCAATAAGCTTTTATTCTGTCCGCGCATTTCCAAACAGCATACCAGACCGTCTTTATCGAGGGTGCACTATATATTGACAAAACGCGAGTGGAACATACACCGGATTACGATAAATGGGACAGTGATGAATTTCAACAGCTGGATGAGAAAGTCTGTTCCCTGGTAGGTTGTTTCTATTTATTGTAACTGTTAACAATCGATTGTCTTTTTAATAGTTCACAGGGTTACATAATTCATTTTTACACAAATCGTCAAGTGAAATCTGCGGGTGGTTGGTTGTGGATGACAAGAATGAAGTTTAGCAACCGGGAAAAGGGAAAAGATTGTAGAATTCATCAGATTCCAGTTATTTGAATAAAAATAAAAAGACGTTTATAAACTGTAAAAACCTCAAGCAGTTATGGATAAACCTTCATCATTACAGGACACGGTATTGTGTCAGGAAGCACTGAAGTATTGCGTCATACAATTAGCTATTATATAAAGAGCTATTCGCTATTTCAGGCTTCATGTGCCTTCAAACTATCTCCAAATAGAATTGCACATTGTCTATGACTCTGTTTCAAGTCACATACGAATAAAACGGATCTACTGTAAGGTCCAATTCGATCATTTTACTTTATTCAGATTGAAACGTGGTGCGCGAAAGACATTTTGTTACGTGAACTCCCGATTGACTGTACTGCATACGCAATGGATTTGGATTCCAAGTTGGTCGTACAACTGTCGGTCTACAACAGGGACTTGGTGAAATTGGGTATTCCGACCGATGAGAGATCAGTGGCAACGGCAATTGAAAACTGGTTTGCACGAATTCCGGAGGATTTCAATAACGTTGAATATAGACCTCATGTGATACTACCATGTGAGTAGCTGTTGAATGTTAGGGTACTTTTGAGACGCATATTTTCGTTTCATGATTGTCATTTCTCAGAATCATGATATCTAAGCGCTTCGGAGAGTCTGAGGATATTGTGTTGAATCAACCCTGAACTTTCGAAATATCTGCGATAAAATCTACCCATTCAATGATACTCGGTTTTATTAGGAGAACTTCAATAGCAATAATTTAATCCTTCAAAGATTTCTCCAACTGTACGTCACAAAACAACACTACCTGTTCTTTATTCTACCAGACTCGTGCAATGCAGCGAGCATTCAGATACGGAAAGTAATTTTCTATCCTATTATCTCTGCACCCCAAACTGGTGCAGCCGATCATTTGTGGGCAGTCAGATTTAGTGACTTCACGTCACGTCATCCATGACGCATCCGCCAGGTGGAATTTAACTACCCATAAAGCAAAGTTTTCATAGCTTTCCGTTGCTACACTGTTCTGTGGAAGATTAGGTGTTAGACCAATAGAGTGTCGTAGGAATGTTTCACATCTATAAGGTGTAAAACGAATGCAAAACACAGTTACTGTGGCACTCAAACAATCAAGACATAAATCTGCAACTTAGCTGCATCTCTATTGAACCGTACAATGTACTTCGCCTGTTCAGGAATGGACAATTCGCCGAATGAAACACACTGATGACACTATCCTCACATGAGAACAGGACTGTGTTTCAGAATCATGTACTTCACGAATGGGATTGGAAAACTGAGTGAGAGTAATCTTAGTATGTGTTTTGTGTTGAACTGGGGCAAAATGAATTTGTAAGACCAGCTTTGACTCTCAGTTGAAAAGTATCGTACTTAATATAGCGGTGAAATTTTCTGACTCCTAGTTGAATGCAGCAGGCAGAAGAGTATATAGTGGTCAAGTGAAATCTGATGCAGAAAAAAGGAAAATGAAATTGGTGTTGATGGTGACGGTGCTCATGAAAGTTTAAACCATACTCTCATTCTTTTTTAATGACATGGTTATATACATGCTCATTTCTCATTTTATTTCCGTTGAAAACGGTGATCTGCATAGATATTTACGCATTCTGGACAAGCCAGACACCGACCATAACTTTGCGAACCGATGATTTCAAACAACATGTAAGCACCATTCAGTTATCAGTGGTGATTTCTGCTTAACGTTCTGTGGGGTTGATAGTGGTTTTAAGCCTACATTCCATCAGATGGCCGTTGTATTTTTTCAGAAACGCTTTATAATCTGGAGCGGTTTTGTGTAGTTTCCGTTCAGTTGGTGGACTCGCATAATTTCTTATAGAAGGAGTTTGAATTTTTGTTTCCACATCTTCCGTTTAGGTGAATTGGTTTTACTCAACATACGCAAAATATGACACGCAATCCGTAGCAGTTGAGATCGTTTACAACTCAGAGACGAATGATAAGATTGTTACCAGTTTGTTTAGTTCGAGTGCGGAGCTACTGGAAGCGGGTATGGTTATTCGGCGGAACTATGCAAAGCTTTTGTCTCAGCCAGCGCAGAAAACGGGATCAACCTTCGTTTACTCCATTGCCGATTTCAAACGAAGTACGTTCCTCCAATTTGACCGGGATATTTTTTCTCGTTCTCCCTACAGCCAATTTGTCGTTTAGTGCAAATGATTTAGCACCAAACGGGATTGAGAACACGGATTCCCCTTCTCGCAACACGCGTACATTGTACATCTTTTAAGTGTTTTCACATTGAAGTACTCGTTAGACTGTTTCATCTGGGTCTGAAAGTATGAAGCAGAGTAGAAGCAGACGTGTTTTCCTGTTGCTGTAAATTCGATTTCCTGTTTTGTCTCTTTTTCTTCTCTTGCAGAAACCATGGTCACGAAGAGACTATGTAAGTACTGCATTTTTCATTTGGAATCCCTTAGTACATTGCATTTTATGCTGACGTGTAACTGGTTGAATTAGCTGATATTTATTTAGTCTCTTCTTCCAGTGAACATAAGACTGGTTGTCTAATGCGACGGCGGTATACGGGGACAAAGAAATAATACATGGTCGGGTTGATTGCTTTGGCGATCAAACGCCGCCTATGTTGCGGGTTGAATTAACACCAGAAAAAAAACCTTTAGGCAAATAGCACTTTGAATCTTTGCACGCGTTGGTGTGAGTCAACTTCCCGGTGTTGTTCTGAGCCGGAGGTTACACACCTTAATATTAACAATGATAACGATAACGAAGCTGCATACCAACAAAGCTGGGTACCGGTAGCGGGATCCGAACCTCGGACTATAGGCTCCGACGCATGTCGCTGATATTGACTAAACGACCGCGCCACCATCACCCATATTACATGTTTATTTATAATGTTTTATGCATTGAAAAGGATCTTATACAACTAATAAAGAGAATTTTCTTTAAAACGAAAGGAGAAATTGTAATCACATTTCAAGCTTGGGGAGATAATTGTTGGCCACTTGCTAGGTGCTCCCCTTAGAAATCACGGTTTAAGATTTATCTGTTCTTCTGCTTATAAAAAAACACAGTGACAAACATGCTATTTCGACCAGAACTAATGGACGTGCAACAGATGGTGCTTTTATACTGTAAAAATAACACTGATACGATCGTTCTTCAAAGTTTCAGGTTTTCAAAATTAAATTTTCAAGCAAACGCTTTGAAATTCAATACAATATTGAAGGGTTATTCCTTTTGCGTCATGTCTACACCTTTTTAAAGCGATGACCACTGTTTATAATATAAAATAATCAAAGAAATACTGAAATGATGCTTCCACGTTGAATTTTCAATAATTTACAGTTGGCAAGAGGAACGAACTGATTTGTAAGACAAATTTTGCAATTTTCTTCCGGATTTCTGATATTTCACTGCTATTGTTTAATTGCTAATATTTGGTGATCATCAGTTTTGTAAATGACCATCAATTTGGAATATTGAAAACAATGAGTGTTTTTCGTAGTTTGATTTTAATTATATGAGTAAGAGAATCTATGTGTAGCACTGAATGACACGGATTGGCCGTTTTTTTTTGAATAAAACGTGACGCTTTTCTCTCCTTACCGCCATTTCAACAAATGCAGCTGTACTGTACACGAAAAAATTGGAAAGTCTACCACCGCAGGCGGAATCCAATCTGGAGTTCTTTTGCAAACACGTACGGCTCAGGGTTGATTTTTATGTTTTTATATATCCTTACTCTGATGATTATAGGAAAAGAAAATTATGTTCGGGCAATTTCAAGCTATCCAGAGTGATGCCATCTTCGATGCTTCCACACGGGGTTGCATCCACCGAGTATGGTTTGTGCTGATAATAGCACTTATTGCCCTATGATAAGCCAAACTGATTCGCGTACAGGGTCAATCGGTTTTCTCGTAGTCACTGCAATTATGACTCAGCTCAATCGGGCTCACAAAATTTGCTAAGCGGTTTCGTGACTGGCCCTATGTTCTTTCTTTCTTTTGTTTATGGGTTAAAGCTATAGAAGTTTGCAATTAGATTGGGTACGAACAAAGGAAAAGCCTTTTTTCTTAAATAAGTTGGATATGACTTGACTGATTTATGCACCGTGAAACTGTAGATGTTTTGCCAGAAATTTGTGACCGATAATTATGCAAACACTACACATTTTGGTATCCGTGAGTAAAAAATGATTGAATTAGACCTGTTGGCTTTGCGCTCAGAATCATTGCAAACAAAGTATAGAAATGGACAATGTAATTTGAAAGAATGAATCTATCAGCTCTTTTTAGCATAGTAATAAGTTTCCTTCTCGATCTCTATCTACATTAAGATACCTGTACGGTTCCCAGTTTCGTCTCTCCTGAGCCTAGGTATCAATTAGGTAATGGTATTAGTGTTTACGTGAGACCGCGTTATTAATATTCAATTTATCCGTACTAATATAATCCCTGTGGGTGATTTTTGCTCAATATTACAAGCTCAGTGCTCAAAACATAAACTCACTTGTCGGTTGTGAATCACTCTTCCGTTATCTCAGGTCAATTTGCAACTTCATGGTAGCCCTAAGCCCGTGCTTCACAAATGCGAGCAACTACAATACAACAATGAACAGCGTGCAGTCACATTGCGGTTACTGATACCACAACAAGAAATGACGTACTACAATGTGGAGGATATCAGTGTTATTTGGACTGACTGATTTCATGGAAAACATTTCCAAATTATTTCTAATATCCCACCACTCTATGTCATTCACGTTTTGAACACAATACTGACCTTCACTTTTACTACCCGGCAGCCCGAAATTTTCGAACGTTCACTATTCGGATAGAGCAGCCTTTAGCATATGAACTACGATCAGAACCAATTTACGCATCATGCCGCTAACCATTTTCCATTTTATTTTGCCGCCGAAGTATTCATTCTCTTGTGTTTTTGACATATGGGTTGCAATAGATTGACCGACTGAGCCATAGGGATCAGCTCTTCACATTGCCGCTTCGAGTAAATCTAATTTGTACGGCTCATTTGGTTTGATGTCTGTTAAACTACTTCTGCTGAATTTACTTGGCCCATTTGACATTCTTTGATAATCTAAATTTATTTGCTTGAATTGGGCAAAGGTGTGTCTTTTCACTTCCTCTTTGCGTCGGAAAACTGGGTGTAGGTGGAGGATTACAACGGCCAGAGAATTTCTAACGATTATTGATCACGGTGCATTCATACCGGCAAAACCAAAGATTTGCGTCCCATAGTCAAAGGCGGGCGACTATCGTAAATAACGTATTCTATTTTGATGAGGCCTTCCGTAATACCCGCAAAATTAGTTGTTTAAACGAATGAGAGTAAGACATGTTTACCATAAAGTGGTAAACTGGATAAGTACAGTTTTATGCAATCTATATCAAACAGGCCTTTCTCTGTGCCTAAGATTCATTGATTATCGGGGGGGGGGGGTGATTAGTNATTAGTTTCCTTTTCCAGATATTTACACAGATATGGGAAAAATCAAATTTGATGAACGCATATCCGATTGCATTGAAACTGTCGGGAATATGTATTGAAAGACCATCATTACATCCACCGTACCTTGTGCATTAGTTTCTCCAGTGGAACATCTAACATGGATCAGTCACCGTAGTCTTAGCCTTGGTCAGTGCACAACTCCGATACTTCGAGCATTCAACATTATTTGAGTTTCAACGTCTGGGTTCGTTCTCAGGTCACAACATAGCGCTACCTGTTGATTCCAGAATGAATGGAATTTGGAAATCTACACGTCAACGGCGAATGCGTTTTGCTACAAAAATTGAACTCATTTAAGCGTTCCGTTTCGTTGATCACCGAAAACTGGGACTGTTTTGCGTATTCAAATCGTTTGTTTATAAACGGCGTTCATCGCGATGATGATTGCCGTAAATTACTGACTGTAAACAACACATTACGTTCATCTCAAACAACGTCACGGACATTCTCGTACTGCTCACAAGTTACCCCTGTCGATTTAAATGTGCAATCATGCTTGAGGCAGAACTTTTAGTAAAGTTCATAGCGTTTGATGCAGATAACTAACGGATCAGGTAGATGAATTGGAATTTTATCACCGAAATTACGCCGATATGCTTGAGTTTGCAGCTGAACATAGAACTCACATATGGGTTGACTTGATTCACGTGTGAGTGAATGAGATTTGATTGAGTATATGGCGTCAACTTTGGCGGGTTCTAAATGTTACTATCTTTTCGTGGATTATAGTTGGCGAGGATATAGGAGTATACGGAATCGCCAAACTCATCTATAGGGCGTATGAATTCTTTCCGGCGACGGTTAGGAAATTATAAATTTTGCGTTATCCGTCGAGTCATTTCAGTAAAACGATATATACCAGATCTTTAGAGGTAATCTTTTATCCTTTGAGCACTGGAATTACTGTTGAGGTTATTGAAAAATGCTCCATTCATTTAGTCCGAAATGCTGGCCAACCACAAGTTTGGTCATGTCATTTTGTGGTTGGCGTTGCGACTATAGCATCATGTGCGTACGTATTGGATAGCGTGCTTTTTTATTCAAGTCAAGCATTAGTACTCGGGGAATAAAATCTAAAAGACGCAATGGACAAATAATTTGTATGCTTTCGACCTGATTGGATCTCATCAGCAGCGAGAATCCTTCGACCCAACTGGGGATCGACCACGGGGCCTCATGGGCAGAGCGCAATTAGTTCAAATCCTCCATTACTCACATGAATCAAGTAGTAAGGATTCAAATGTTTCCAACGGGGTCATAACCCCAGAAACTAATGCTGAACTGAGTGACACCTGATGCCGGCAAGAAGCTCGTAAAAATGGGTTTTGCTATGTCAGAAAAATGGAAAATAAAAAACTGTCTGATCAGCTATTCACTGGCCTAGTGGGTAGTATGCTTGCGTTCTACCATTGAGATACCGGGTTCGATCCCCATTTGGGTCGATGGATTCGCCCTGTCGATGAGATCCAATCAGGTTAAAACGACTATCCAGTGCTTCCGGACTCTTCAGTTCACGCTTCATTTGCTATATATACCACGAATTCTCTTTTAAAGTTGACTCAAATCTTCTATTACTCACAAGAAATTCGTTTGATAGTAAGCGAAAAACGGGAACATAGCGGTATGGTGTTCGGTAAAACAAACGACTTTATGGTCAGTCTACCACCAACATCAAGTTCTCATCCTCTCCTAAATTAGTTTTTTCCACATACGCATAACCGTGCATTACGGGCGATTTGAGGCTCATACTAGGTCATGTTAAGTCCACCGAATTTTCCCCCAGATTCCTCGACAACGTGACCATCCAATGTGGTCACATCCTATCCGAAGACAACTTAAACGCTGTGCGGTGTGATTATTTTGACTGTTCTTCTGTTAGATATCGTACTCAATCAAGAAGGAGCAACGACATACCACTGCATGGTCCTAGAGATCATTTCATTGGTCAGTCTGCAGTTGCGTTCATGACTGAGTACTACCGCGACTGTTGAATCTGGTTGCCATCCCCACACGTTTCCACTGACAAATCTGTTTATTCATCACTCTCTCATTTTTATGTTCTCCACCCGTGCGTATCATTGATCATCTGACGTAATTTTCGTTCCCCACGAATGATTCCTTAACCTTCTTCGCCCACATCACTTGTTTATTCATCCCCNCGTTTTCGAGACCGTTCTCTCCTGACTCTGATATGATCTGACTCACGCTGTTCCCTGTTTATCGTATCGGTTGCTTAATATTATTCGGATTGGTCCCCTGTTTAACCCACGCGTCGCACTGTCTCATGTGCAAATGTACGCTCTGATGATATTTCACCTATCGCTTGTTCACTTGTTGGAGTGGCGAACTCCCTAGTTTGCACACTGGTTCCCGGTTTGCATTGTTCATTTCGCCGGTTCAGGCATATCTTTGGGAACGCCACGATCTGAAGTGTGTTCTTGATACCGTTGTGACGCTTTATATTTACACTACCGTATTAGTATTCGCTATTGCTGGAGTCGAATAAATCTCTAGAACTGTATTTCTAACCCGGTAAAACAAACCATGTCAATCAATATCATATAACTTTTTATGACTCGAAATACCTCGAAAATTTTCTTTGAAGGCTGCTTTAGCAATTTACGTAACGCATCAATTTGAATGAATACGTGCAAGGACGTCAAGGGTTCAGTGAGGATGAACACGTTTCTTTGGTTTGATCGAGTGTTCTCGGAGACAAATATTAGATAATAAACGAAGACAAATATGGCAAGCATGTCTTTATTCCGATGGAATCCAGGTTTCATGGAATGAAAATTACTCCAGTCAATCATATTGAGATGCCAAACCACCTTCAGCAGCTGTACATTCAATGTGTAAACTGCGCATTTTCTGATACCTAACACAACAAGAGTTGAGGTTTTGTGTATCTTAAGAGCACCCTTAAGTTGACAGTGGAAATGTTCTACCAAATCGTTAGACGCTGGATAGTAAGCAGTTGTGCGAATCTGTTCTGTACCTGGCAGTTGTNGTTGTGTTAACGGAGGTATGTACATTTAGCTCGTTTTTCAGTCGTAACAATGGAGGCCCAACAGTACAGTGCTATCCATTGTTCTACAAAATGCCGAGCCAATGTTTCGGCCATGACAGTAGAAATGGGACCAGTTTCGGGCCATCCAATCCACCTGGTCATACTCGTGGATATACTCATGTGGCGGTGACAGTGAACCTACAGTGCCAACGTGAACGTGATCAAAGCGATTGTCAGACGTAG